GTTGATGCATGCGAACAATCTTTCTGAAAAGAATAAAGTTTTATTAATGACCGGGAACTCATTACACTTTATCTAAAGAATTTACGCAAGTGGTGAGAGTTCCAGTGTCGCTCAACCCGGCCACCTTCCATTGTTTCCAACTGGTAAGTGCCCGGTCTCACGATTGCTTTTACGCGATAGGGCCCCTCCCAGTTTCGTAGCAGCTTGCCCCTTTCATTAGGCTTACTAGCATCCCTTCTGCGCAAGACTTCATCATGCACTTGGAAGTATCGCGGCCCTACCCGGTTGTCATGATACCGCTTTACTGACTGCTGGTAACCGGCCATCTTGACTGCAGCTATGGTCCTTCGTTCTTCTACCAGATTCAGTTCAGCTAGGTGGTCGATCTCGTTAAGACCGGGCTGGTAGACGGTTTCTCTGAATGTCGGAATTTCTGCCTCTACTGGTAACCGGGCTTCACATCCGTAAGTTAACACGAAAGGAGTCTCTCCAGTTGCTCTTCTTGAAGTCACTCTATGAGCCCAGACCGTGTGAGGCAAAGCTTCCAACCACTTGTTTCCTTCCTCACCCAGCCTCTTTTTTAGACCGTCCACAATTGTTCGGTTAGCGTTTTCGACTTGGCCATTTCCCTGTGGATATGCTACCGAGGCCTTGCTGTGCTTGACCCCGAAGCTAGCAAGGTATGCAGTGAACTGGGGATTGCGAAACTGGGGTCCGTTGTCGGTGACAATGAATTTAGGGGCACCAAACCGGGTGATAATGTTTTTCCAAACAAATTTCTCGCACTGCCGTACGGTTATGGTGGCCATCGCCTCAGCCTCAATCCATTTGGTGAAGTAATCAATAGCCACCATCACGAACTTCTTTCCGCCTTGAGCAACAGGGAAGGCTCCAATAATGTCAATCCCCCACTGGGCAAACGGTATGACATTAGAGGTTGGTTGGTAATAAGTGGCCGGTCTGCCAGGCTGTTTGTAAAAAACCTGGCACGTCCTACATCTCTGGACATACCTCTCACAGTCCCCCACAATGGTCGGCCAATAGTAGCCTAGCAGGATGATCCTTTGAGCCAAAGTGCGGGACATTTGATGGGCTGCACAAACTCCCTCATGTACCTCGGCAATTACACGTTCAGCCTCCGGGTTGGTGAGGCAACGCAAGAGTGGTCCGCCAATGGCATGTTTGTATAGATGACCATCGATTACCTGGAAACGTGGAGCCCGTAGGACCACCTTCCTGGCTCGTTCCTCGTCATCAGGCTTCTGACCGGTCTCCAAATACTCCATGAGTTCGTATCTCCAGTCATCGTCTGCTCCGATTATCCCGGTCGCTGAAATCTGGCCCGGTTGGATGGCCGCGACTTCAAACCGGTCTGTACTCGGCACGTCCAGTATCTCAATTTTCGCCAATTTTGACACATGCTCTGGGCAAGCTTGCGTCAATTTTGAAAGCATGTCTGCATCAGCGTTTTCCGACCGGGGTATCCTAGTCAGACGAAACTCTTCTAATTCCCTTAGAAGCGCTCGGACCAGATCACTATACCGGGCCAGGCGATCCTCTTTTACCTCCATCTCACCATTGA